CTAGTCAGCCTTCGATGGGAGCTATAGTAGCTGCTCTTGAGAATACTCCTTTTGACGCTGGTTAATTTTTTTTTCATTTCAAAACACTTTCTTTCTTCACCGCTTTTAATGCAATGGCGGTCATATTTAATGCAAGCTAGCCTTACTTAGGGCTGAATATGGAAGAAATTTCTCGATACAGCGCTTACTGGGAAACTGCGCGACGTTTGTATGGACCGTTTGAGTGTGCGGTAACCATGAAAAGCGGAAATGCAGATGTCTATAAACACGAGATTCCAGGCGGTCAGTATACCAACCTTCAGTTCCAGGTAAATATGAATTTTGGTCTAAACAACATTTGAGTAATCTTGGGAGTAATTATTTAAGAAATTAAGCTTAGTTGAATTGGCTACTTTCAGGCTTTCTCGCTTGGCTTAGGAGAAAAGTTTGATGAGGTGAAAAAAATGTATCGAGAAGCAAACCTTGCACTTGGAGATCTTATAAAAGTTAGTTTTTTTGAAAGCAAAACGTTGAATCTTGTACAGCTTGTTTAATTGTTACTTTTTGTAAAATTTAAGTGGGAAAAAATTGAGTGATTAGACATGTTTTTCAAAAGTTTTACTTTTGGTCTGATAGTAGTTTAGGTCACACCGTCGTCGAAAGTCGTTGGTGATCTTGCTCAATTTATGGTTCAAAATAAACTAACTCGTGAAAGTTTGGTGGAAAAGGCGGAAGAACTGTCATTTCCAAATTCAGTTATGCAGTTCTTCCAGGCAAGTTTTTCAATTTTTGAGAAAGGCTCTGCATTTTGGTTTACGCAAGAGAGTATAAAAGATGTACCAAATGAGGCTGAAATAAAGTTTGCTGGTAAGCTGTAAATCGACGGTTAATTTCAGTACAGCATTGTAACAGCGGAATTAGTGGATCAGTGATATTCCTCTGAACTGTGGGTCAACCGAAATTTAAATAGAAGGAGTATTACTATGACTGTAATTTAGGGTCTAATTGGCCAACCACCATATGGCTTTCCTGAGCCGCTAAGAACTCGAGCTTTACGTGGTCAACCTAAATATGACGGTCGTCCTGGCGAAAACCTACCAGCACTTGATTTCGATAAGCTTCATTCCGATCTTGAAGACAAACATGGGAGAAAATTACGGTATCAGAGTCAAATTCCGAAGGAAACAGTTTGTTACGGCAGATTCACTAAAATAACTGCTTTGTTGATTTATAGGGATGTTGATATAATGACTTCTGCTATGTTCCCCCAGGTTTTCGATGAATTTGAGCAATTCCGCCAACAATACGGACCAGTGGATAAATTAGATACTCGAATATTCCTAACAGGTTTTCAAACACATCATATAGCTCCATTAAATTTCTGCGAGACAATTCCTCATTAATTTTTGACATCTAGGCATGAAAATTGGTGAAGAAACTGAAGTCACGATCGAAAAAGGAAAAACGTTATCGATTAAGTTAGTTGCTATTGGAGAACTCAATGCGCGTGGCGAACGAGAGGTATTCTTTGACCTAAATGGGCAAATGAGGACAGTATTTGTTCAAGATAAAGAAGCTTCAAAGGTTGGTTCTCTTGCTATTTACGAAAATACAGTTGCCTTTCGACGTTTAGTCTTCCATTCTTTCTCGTGTTACATAAGGAGGAGACCTTGAACAGTTTGTGTAAGTCACTGCCGTTTTTTGTTTTGTAGGAAATTGTTACTCGTCCACGAGCTGTACCAGGTGTTCGCGGTTCAATTGGTGCACCAATGCCTGGTCAGATTTTAGAGTTGAAAGTCAAGGAAGGAGACAAAGTTTCACCAAAAACTCCGTTATTTGTTTTGAGTGCCATGAAAATGGAAATGGTCATTGATAGTCCTATTACTGGAACAGTTAAGAAAATTCATTGTGCGGCAAAAGAGCGGGTTGCTGCTGGTGATTTAATTGTCGACATTGAGCCGTAGAATTTATTTCAGATTAATAACCAAAAAGACCTAAAGTCTGTTTAGCATACCTATCGTTAATTAGGCCAAAGTTTTTAGTTTCAAAAAAAAATAACGTTATATTATATCTGATTATTTATGATTATTTAATTTTGTTCTGACTGGTGTAAATTATACTACTTTGCTTGATTTTTTCTCGAGATTTTAAAAGTTGTGTAGGGTACAGAGTTGAGGTCTTGTCGCAACGGGTATTTACTGTAATTGGAAAAGAGTTACCCGCAGTTGTGCCTGTTCTGTTTATTTAGAAGTATCTTTATTGTATTTTCAATGCTTATGACATTTTTTTTTGATACTGCACTTTTCGTAACGGTATTGAAGATGAAATAATACATGTCGTTTTTTGAATGCCTTCGCTGTTATACTTTCATCGCGTGAAACTATTGAGAATATTTGCGCATTTGAATTTTGATCATTGATCCATATGCCACAAATTCAAATATTTCTATCTGCTATTTCTAACTTTTGAGGGATTCAATGCCAAACTGTGATTTTAATACGTATGCGGTTTCATGAAAATACTTTTTTGGCTATGTGCGGTGCGGGGAAACTATGTTTTACAATTATCCCAGCTTAATAGGTAGTAACTTTCTGGGAACTGGAAGATTTAGTGCGCTGTAATCAACTACACATTACTCATTTTATACAAAGAAGTCTTGTTCTTTCTTCACTCCAAACGTCTATCTAAAACGCAACAACATCCAGCAATGAGCAGCAATGAACGCAAAAGACGGAGGGTGCTAGCACACCTATAATAAGCTGTTTTGGAAATGAGGAAAACAGTGATAAGTTAGTACATTTACCTTCAAAGAAGTCTTCACTAGAGATAATTCCTAGAGCCGTGTAAAGTGCAGTGCCACAAAAGGTCCATGGGCTCACTTTCTCAGGATTCCCACTCCTAAGCAAGATAAAAATCGCAGATTTTCGGTACGAACATATAAAACGGTTGCAGCATGCAGATTAAAATTTTTTGATCTGCTTAAGTAAATTTTTTATCTATACTATGCAACCTGCTTTGTATTTCTAATATTTTGTGCGTATTTGTCTTCTTGCCTCAAAAAGTGCC